AAAAAAAGCAAAGGCAAAAATTGATAAACCTTGACTTACTAGCCGGTCAGCAGCCGTCTGATAAATGCATTGGAAGATATTAGTTAATCCTATTGGATTCTTGGTTGATCAAGTTAAGAGTATAGCAAAAATGCTTATTGAGAAAGTTATTAAAAAAAACGGCATATAAATTTATGTTAGTTATTTGTTAGTTTCCACTTTGGGAGATAAGGAGGTTAGTATCTTATATTCTCCGCCTCACAAAAAAAACGGAAAATAATTTCACATACTGTATTTTTGATTATAAAAAGTTATAAAAATATTAATTTTGGCCGCCGAGAAGCGGCTTAATTATAAAATAATTATTCAATTTTGGCCAGGTAGACCATCGCAAGGAAGAAAAAAGATTACCCCTTATTATCAAAACATTTTCTATTTTTTGAGAATTTAAGTAATTTTTCTGGTAATTCATATTTATTTATAATTTTACGTTTTATATTGTTGAGAATAATTCAATTAAAGTTCTTACCATAACACCAGTTCCGCGTTTGGTTTTTGATTTGGCGGCGGTTCCGGCAATGTCGCAGTGAATAAATGGCAGTCCATTTACGAATTCTTGTAAAAAAGCGGCTCCGTTCGAAGCACCCATATAGCGACTGCTGCTTATGTTGCTGAGGTCAGCGATAGTAGTATCATTTTTTAAATTTTTAGTATTTTCGGGCAAAAGTGGTAATTCTCAGGTGCTTTCCTGAGATTTTTCGGCAGCCTGGATGAATTGTTGGTAAAAATCACGATTATTAGTCATAACTCCGGTAACATTTTCTCCCAACGCTAATACGCAGGCCCCTGTCAAAGTTGCGACCGTAATTATTTTAGTTACTTTTTCTTTTTGTATTGCGTAAGTAATGCCATCGGCCAGAACTAAACGTCCTTCGGCGTCAGTGTTATTAATTTCGACTGTCTTGCCATTCATGGAAGTTATTACTGATTCGGTCAGGGTGGCATGACCACCAATGGCATTTTCAGTTAGACAAGCAACTGCCACAATATTTTTTTTTGACTTACTTTGTGCCAAATTTAAGAAAGAAGCACAAACTACTGCTGCTCCGGACATGTCAAACTTCATTGTTTCCAAGGCCGCCGAAGACTTTAAATTATAGCCACCGCTGTCAAAAGTAATTCCTTTTCCAACTAACCCAAGAACATCATTTTTATTTTTTTTGTCTCCAAAATAACGTAAAATAACTACCCGCGGCTCATGATGACTGCCAGCATTGACTGATAATAACAAGCCCATTTTGTTCTTTTCAATCTGTTTTTTATCTAAAATTTCTACTTCAATATTTTTTAATTTACTAAACTTATCCTTAGCCTGATCGGCAAATTCCTTAGCATGTAATTTATTAGGAGGAGCATCTTGCAAATCCCGTGCTCAATTAACTGCTTCTAATTTGCTGAGAGAATTGTCTAAAATCTTTTGGACTCCTTTAAGTTTGGTAATTAAATAATAATCGGCGTCCTTTTTTTTGGTTTTTTTTTCTTTGTAGTCTATAGACTGATGAGAACCAAACAAGATTCCTTCACTAATAGCCTGAATTATTTCTTCTTCCCCTAATTTTTTGGAAATGAATGTCTGAATATCGATACTTCAGTTTCTTTCATTATCACTAGAAAAATTAACAAAATAATTGTAAATGTTATGGAAATTATATTCATCACTCTCCTTATTGACGTACAAGAAACAAGCACTTTGTTCGGAGATTAAAGTAGTTTTTCATTCCTTTTTCTCAACCAGAGCAGGTAATTTATCTTTACTAGTAACAACTTTGAGAATTAATGAATTAGTTTTTGATTTGGTTTCGATAAATAATGTAGTCATATATTTTGAGATGGTCAAATGTCTTTTTAATTTATTTTAAATGATTATGGGTCAATCATTTTTTTTGTCTGCTTTTCTAGATGAAATAATCAATTTTTTTTGGTAATAAGTGAATAATATAGATTATTTAGATTATTTTTGGTTATAGATATAGTTGCTTTTTTAACAAAGAGTTCAAAATATTCAAATCGAAGAGAAAAAACTATCATAAAACATATTAAATAAGATATGATATGTAATGTTATCATGACTAATCAACACATTCATTACCAAAAAGGAATTATCAATTCTACTTGAAAAGAAGTCAACATAACTTCATCCTGGCGTCAAGAATAACAAAATTAAACTGGTAAGCCAAAATGACTTGTAAAAAAACAGTTGCTAATTTTTAACAAATTAGCAAAAAAACAACAATTTTAAGTAAAAAACATAAATAATAAATTTTAAAATCATATGACAAATAACAATAATTTAATAACAAAAAAAACATAGCAAAAGTAGAAGAAATCAGAGAAATAAATACTGAAATTCCTAGTTATGAGGAGTTTATGAAAACTTACAACGAAAATAGAGAGGCAGTTGACAGTTATGAGAGTGAATTTGATAGTTATGGTGATATAAGGGTTGAAAGGGGATATGGACCAATGGATAACTCTATTAAATACTTCTCGTACGGTCCTTGTATTAGTATTGAAAGAACACTAAGTGGACTGCTTTATTTTTGCCCTCTATGTGAAAAAAATCACTTTCCTGAACTTCTTTGCAAAAGTTGCAGAAAAGAACAAGAAAATAAATTTAAATGTATCCAAATTCTTCCTGCTTGATTTTACTCACTTTTGGTTGGCTCTTGCTTTATTGGCTTTTTTCTAGGCTGATTATCACTATTTTTACTAATAAAACTACGCAGGAAAAAGAAACAAAAAAATAATAACTTGTTTAATAAACGAACTTAAAGAATAATCAATTAATTCTAACCCCCCCTTGAGCTGGTACTAGTTATCTAACAATTGAGGCTCGCACCTAAATTATTAAAATAATAATAAAGAATTAAATATTTTTTATAATTATGAAAAAGGAAATTAATGTTCTTGCAAGTGGTAATATTTATTTTTTCTACCGTCCCAAGGTTGAGAGCAAGCAAAACCAAAAAGAGGAGGTGCAGAGATTTTTCTTGGTCCTTCATCCGCAGCAAAGTAGAAAATATCACTTAATAATCATCGGCAAAAAGCACTTACCGCAGGAGAAAGGAGAAAATTATTTTGGTTTTGTCGAAACGATTAAGAAAAATAAAAATGTTTTGCTACAATCACTAACCGAAAAGCGCTATACAACTGCTACCCATGGCGAACGATTGCTACCAGATTCCCATTGTCTAGGAGCAGGGAAATTCTTGATAGCAAGTCATGATAATCATACACATTTTATTTATCAATTAACCAATCCGAAAAAAATTAAGTCGGCGCAAAATGAGTTCCATATAAAAGCAGAAGATGATTATCTAATTAGCGTTAAAAATCCGCAAATTGAAACGTCAAAAGGGGTTGGGCTAGCAGAAAAACAAAAAGCCAATTATCCCAATTCTCTTCAAAAAAAGTTTTCTGACTATCACTTTATCCCCCTTAATCCCACGAATTTTTTAGATTATGAAGGGACCGAGTTATTGTTAATTGCCACCAGTAAGGAAAATTTGACCGAAAGAGCAAAAGAAATTAGTAGTTGTTTAGAAAGAATTTGCTCTGATAGATTGCTAGAAGAATTTGCTAAAATAACTCCGCCGGAAGCAGTTGCGCCAATTGTGGGATAAAAAAATAAAGGGACAAAACCTAGAAAATATAAATCTCCTAATAATTCAATTGGTTGGAGAACTCAATTATTAGACTAATCCAGCCGCAAAAGGAGACTTTTTTGCGGCTAAAAGTTAGGATTTGATTATTTGAGCCGATAAATGATAATTCTTGGTATTCTCTTGATATCTGCTGCCCGACAAAAAGCATAAATCAAACAAAAAAGCAAAGGAAAATTTAATCACAATAATATTGAGTAATCTCAAAAAAGGAAATATTCTCTTCATTCTTTCACAAAAATAATCATAAGCACATTAAAAACCAAGGTTAGCGAAAGAGAAACCAAAAAGTGAAATTTAAAGACTTCTTTTCGTTTTTTTCTTGATTTTTTATTAATTTTCTTTCTACTTTTTAAAGACATTTTTTTTGTCTGATTCGACCATATATCATTAATTTTTTGGTGGGGAGGTAGTAATTTGTGCTAGAAACTTTGAAAAGGCTAGTGGGAAAAACGAAAAATTTTCTAAAAATAGTGATAATTTTAAATAAAAGTAGTTAATGATTAATTAATCAATCGAAATATTTGCTTTGGCTTTTTTGCGTGGTTGTTTGGCAGCAAGGGGCAAAGTAGTTTTTCGTTGCTTTTTGCCAAATAGTATTTCCCAAACTTCCTCGTATTCTTCTACTAAGATAATTTTCAACTCTTGTCGAACTTCTTCCGGAATATCCTCAATATCTTTCTCATTAGCTTTGGGAACTATAATGGTTTTTAGCTCACTACGGCAAGCTGCAATCGCTTTTTCTTTTAAACCACCAATTGCTTCAACGTGACCGTGTAAAGTAATCTCGCCGGTCATTCCTATATCACGAGGAATAATGCGACTAGTCAGAGCCGAAATAATTGCTGAGGTTAAAGCAATACCGGCACTCGGTCCTTCCTTGGGCGTTGCTCCTTCTGGAGCATGGATATGAATGCTGTTTTGCGAAAAAACTTCCAAATTAATACCAAATTTCTGGTGATTAGACTTGATATAATTAAGGGCTACTCGTGCTGACTCTTTCATAATATCTCCTAGGTTTCCGGTCAATTCAAAATCGCCCTCCTTACGAGGATAATGAACAACTTCGATTGGCAAAATATCTCCGCCATAACCAGTCCAAGCCAAGCCAGTAACCACTCCCACTCGTGAACTTTTTTGCTTGGAAGTAAACTCATAGTCTTTCTTTTTCAAATAATCAATTAAAGTAGCAGAAGTGACAACCACCTTGTCCTTTTGATTTTGCAGAAGTTGCACTATAAACTTACGAATAATTATTTGGATTTTTCGGCTTAATTCTCGTACTCCAGCTTCACGAGTGTAATGTTTTATTATATCCTGAATAGCTCGATCTTCAAAAACTATCTCACCGGAGTTTAAATTGTGTTTTTTTAAACTTTCTGGAATTAGATATTCTTTAGCAATGCGAAATTTTTCAATTTCGGTGTAGGAGGAAAGACGAACCACTTCCATTCTATCAAGCAGAGGCAAGGGCAATTCTCGTTCATCATTAGCGGTACAAATAAACATTACTTCTGACAAATTGTAAGGAAGGTCCTCTCCCAGGTAATTGTCGATAAATTTCTTGTTTTGGTTCGGGTCTAAGGCTTCTAGCAAAGCATAGGCAGGGTCGCCGCGAAAATCGTGAGAAATTTTGTCAATTTCATCTATCAGAAAGAGTGGGTTAATTACTTGAGCTTTTTTCATGGCTTGAATAATTCTTCCGGGCATAGCGCCAATGTAAGTGCGGCGGTGACCTTGTATTTCGGCCACATCCCGAACTCCTCCTACTGAAATGCTAACGAACTTTCGTCCTGTTGCTTCGGCGATAGAAGCAGATAAGGAAGTTTTTCCCACTCCTGGTGAACCTACTAAACAAACAACTTGTCCCAGTGATTTATTAGCTTTTTGCTGAGCTGCTAAATATTCAACAATTTTTTCTTTTATTTCTGACAATCCATAATGCTTCTCATCCAGTTTCCGTCGAGCAAACTCCAAATCATTAATTTCCTTGGTCTTTTGGTGTCACGGCAAATTTACTAGTCAATCTACATATTGCTTAATAATATTAGCTTCGCTGGAATTACCCGGCATCGTTTCGTAACGTTCTATTTCTTCTTGAACTACCTTTTTCACGTAGTCAGGATAAGGTTCTTTTCCGAGCCTTTCCAAATATTTCCGCATTTCATTACTGCCATAAGTTCCTTTCTTCCTTAATTTTCTTTCAATAGTTTTTAATTTTTCTCGTAAATAATATTCTTCTTGTTGGTTCTTAATTTCTTCCCTAGTTTTGTCTTCAATATCTTTTTCAATTTTTTGGCGATCTGGTAAATTTATTAAAATTTCTAATCGTTCCTGTAAGTCCAAAGAGGCCAGAACCTTTCATTTAGTTAATTGGTCGACTTCCCGACTATTTTGGGCAATAAAATCGATAAGATTACTAACATTTCCCCTCATCATAGTCATATAAGGTAATTTTTCAACCGAACTCAATTTAGATTTTTCCAGAATATCAGGAAGATGACGCACAAACTTTTCGGTTAAATCATCAAGGGTCTTTTCGTCTAAATCTTTTTCAGGTAAAATTTGATATTTTCCATGTCATATTTCCTCTCTCTTTTCCAGGTTAGTTATTTTTATTCTCTCTAAGCCCCGTAATTGGATTTCTTTGAGCGAATTGATAATGGGTTCTAAGTCTGTTTCAGTTGAAATGTCCAAATTGATTTTGGCCAAGGTTCCAATGGGTGAAAAGTTTTTGGAATTATCACCAAATTTCTCCTTGTTAGGGATAACAAGCAAATAACCTTGACAATCCTTTCACGCTTGCAAAATTACTTTTTTTCAATAAACATTGCTCTCAATAGGGAGGTGATTTTCGCATTTTGGGAATAAAAAAAAATTGTCTAATAGTAAAATAGGGAATTCATTCATAAGTTTTTGATAAATTAGTTAGTTGGTGCTATTTTTTTCTTACACTATTATTTTTAATGATATAATGGCGCCCATGAAGAGAATCGAACTCCCGACCTAACGCTTAGAAGGCGTTTGCTCTAATCCACTGAGCTACATGGGCCCATTAACTATTTTTAGCAAAAACCCGTGACTCATTTTTTCTCATGAATTCCAAAACTTTCTGAGCATTATCGTGAGGAGTAATTTAGTAAATTGAGAGCGATTTGTTCCTAAATCCCAATCTCCTCTTGTCTTCTCTCTTTCCTCTAAGCAAGTTCACAGGTTAGATTTATAAAGTAAGTTTGATAATTTTTTAAAGCCTCTTTATAAACCCACAAGTATTTTTTTTCCAAAACTACTTCTTCAATAATAAGACTATGTTAATCCTCAGCCAACTGTTTAAATAATTTTAGCATTGGATCAAGAATTTTCACCACAATAACTATTAATTTTTGCTTCATTAATAGGGCGTCTTGTTGACCTTAACCACTAATAAATTGAAAACCTTCATTACTTTTTTCACCAAGCCCTTTGTACTTTGGAGAAAGATAATTTCAAAAAGCTCTGAGTGAGAAATTTAGTCAAGGTTCTTCACTTAAATCCTGAATTTCTTTGGAAATCGAACTTTTCCCGGCTGAAGAACAACCATTAAGAAAAAATAACTTTACTTGTCATCAATCAAAAATAATAATGAGAGATTTATTAGTACTGGCAATGAGCTATCTTCCCCGTAAAGAGTATTTTCGTCACGAAAGTGCTTGACTTCTGTATTCGGAATGGGAACAGGTATTACCAC